CTCTCTCTCTCTCTCTCTCTATATATATATATATATATATATATATATATATATATATATATCGATAAATTTTTTAAAGCATACTTTGAAAAATTCTTTTTGAATAATTCTATTAAGCTGCCACAAATTATCTCCTTTGTAGAGTGAAAAAAAGTTGAAATGAGTATATGTGACAACTGGAAATCTAGAGGAGCAAAATGCTGTTCTATGCGCAGAAATTAGAGCCAAGGGTTTTATTGGACTGAGCCAAAGAATTCTGTTAGACACAATCATTTTAAATGGGTGATAACTAATAGTTATCTATCATAAACTATCTACCATTTCTGTCTAAATTTATATCTAATTATTTATTAACTTAATCTTCTCTCTCTGTCTTTCCCAGGCACCATCCGTTTTTTTTGCGGCTAATTAATTTGGACAGGTGAGTTAATATATACAGCAATTTTTTAGCAATTTTCAATTTTCTTAAACAATCATCCTGCTATGTCAACCACCAACGCCTTTTGTAGAATCTAATGAGTCAAATTTCTTTTTCCTCAAGAAGTTTTAAAAAGACATTAGCAAATAACAAGCAATCATTTATTTTAAATTCAAACGACTGAAAAATTAATTTTTTTTTTTCAATAACAGAATCTAGTAAGTAATCATTTTGTGTGACACCGGCGGAGAATTCATGAATGAAAGAATCGGAGGAATCTGAAAAAGTCTGAAAATTAGAAATCGAAATGAGGAATATTTGTGGATGTATTTGTACAATCAAAAAAAGAGCATAGTCCACTTTCTTTTTTTTTGGAAATATATCAGTTCATTTCCCGAACCAATCAATAATTTATTCCTCATTACAGTGGATAGCTTTTAATCATTTAATCTATCTATCTATCTATATATAGATATATAGTTGAAAAGTTTTTACATACATGTTTTTCTTTGTCAATGAATCGATCGGCATCATCCTTCATAACTGTTTGGTAATGATATTCTTCAGCGAATCGATAGCGCTCGAATAGTAATCTCATTAACTTCTAAAAAACTTTTGGTAGTATAAAAGTTTGGTTAATACTTCTCCTCTTCTTCCCAAAAAAAAAAAGACCCTTTTAAGATTTTATGTAAGTTGCGAATTAACTTAATTAAAGGGAAAACAAATCCTCATTGTTATTAAATTTGAGGAGCATTGTGCAGAATTGCAAAGCATATATATAAGAGTTTTCGAGTATATATCGTAATATATCAATTAATTATTTCGGATAGACTAGTTATTTTAAATTAACTATTTGAATTAATATATATATATATATATATATATCATATGATTATCTCTTATCACTGAATGCATAATGTTAGATAAAAAAAAATATTATTATCTTTTAAAAATACATTAAAACAACGATAGTGCATGAAAAGTCAAATGATCGATAGTTTAACTAAATGAATAAATTTATTCCAGAATATTTGATTATCTCTAACGCTTATCAATCCTAGATCTTTTCAATGAATTTTATCACTAAAATTGATCTATCCTGATTATTTTTGATCAAAACTGAATTAAATTCATTTCTTTGAGATATGAATAACATTTTTTAGGTCAAAGTCCAACTTACCAAATACAAAAAATCTTGCTCAATAACATCATTTAGGGATGGATTCCAAATCTTAACTGGAATCCATAAATCCTGAAAATGAATATATTTTGCAGCTAACAAATTTGAGGTTAATTTATATGTGCATATATGCGCTACTGCAGTTATGTGATTCATGATCGGTAACTTTCATTGATCATCAATATGAAATGTATTTACATCATCCATTTCGGAATATCTTTAAACGGTGACGATAAGATTTTTAAACAATAAAATTAAATGGTAAGACATTTTTTTGTAATTTAGGAGAATTCCGGAATAGTTTGTTCATATTCAATAAATGTTGCAACATTTATCAATTATGATTTGTACGAAAATTTACATATTCTTTATATATATTATTACAATTAATTTCAAAAATATAACAAATTATTTGAATATTTCATGAAATTATTTAAAAAATTTTATTAATTCATCATATATTTATGTACACTTACTGGATAAACAAATGTAAATTTATTTGAAAATATTCGTCGTAATGCATAAGTTGTATTGTAAATGAGATTAAATGGTGGTGGAATAGCAGTAAACCAATCGAAATATTCTGCATAGATTTGACAACGAGTGAATTTCCATTCCAAATCTTCATTTTTCTATAATTTAGGAAAATTTCGGCATAGTTATTGCAATATTAAAGCATTTAATAAGAATAAAAGTAAATGTATTTACTAGCAAAAATTTATTAAACCTAAAATCCTAAAAGTTTAAATTAAGAATGTTAACTTATTGCTATCAATTGAAATATTTCATATCGTGTTTAAAAATGATTTATTTTGAAATTAATGAAGAAAAATTTCATGGTAATGAATTTTTCCTTTTTTTTAATCAAAATTTTTGTTTAAATTAAAAATATTTAACTAACCTGAATTTTATCAGCTGTTCGAACTAACATAGAAATCATTAGATTTAGAAGTGTTATTACAACAGCAATATGAAAGGCTGCAATTGTAATTTCGCCGGCATAATTAGTAAGTGGATGTTCGGTAGGCTCTTGATTAGGACCAGCATTACCCACAATAAGCTTATAATCCCAAGGAGCAAGATAGCCATAAAATGACCAATATAGATTACGAAATGTTACTCCTATGCTAGAAAATTTTAATTGAATTAATTTCAAAGAAAAAATAAAAAATAATGCAGCAAAAGAAATAATGAAATAGATAGTTTAAAAATGATGAGATTTAAAAAGAAAAAATGATGAGAAAATGATAAGATGATGAGATTTAAAAAGAAAAAGATGATGAGAAAATGATAAAATGATGAGATTTAAAAAGGAAGAAATGATGAAAAAATGATAAGATTTATAAAGAAATGATGAGAAAATGATAAGACTTAAAATAAAATTATTACAAAATTATATGTAACCAATTGAATTTTTATAATCTACATCCATCTTATAATTGTTAAATACTTAGCTAATCAGTTTAATTTCTTAATATTTCATTTAATATAAATATTTGACAATCAAATATTAATTTTGAAAAAAAACACAATTTAAATATTATTCTTTTTATAATCATTTTTTTTTAAAATTTCTTTTCAAACATATGAGTATTATTTTTTTTCTCTTTTTGTTTTTGTTTTTATCATACCTAGAATAGGTTTCTTTTTGTTGAATAATATTTCCATCTTTATCCAATACACGATTTTCATTATATGCTTGATACATAGTATTGATACCCAATGAAAAGCATATCATTATAATAGCAGCTACTGATAGGAATATCATAACATTATGAATACATTTTGAGATTGATATCCAAAAAAGAAATTAATATTAAAAAAAAGAAAGAAATTCTCAAGTTATTCATTATTTTTCTTTTTATTTCAAATTAATTAATGTTTAACAAAGGCTAATTCATGTAATATAGATCATAATTAAAGGATTGAAATCATAAACATATTTTAGTAGATTTGTGCAAAGTTAAATGTTAATTAGCACAAAAAGCATAAAAGATTTAGTGGAAAAATCCATGTTCTTATGATATGCTCAATTATTATTAATAATAAGCTGAACTGAAACTTCATCATCCTACAATATTAGCTAATATTAGCTAAGCATAAGTAGCATAAATAATGAATATTGGAATTTTTTAGGTTGCATAAGTCAGAGATGAAAAAAAAATGTTAGATCAAGATTTTTAGATAACATAAATCAGGAATAATAAATATTAGATCGAGAATTTTTAGATAGCTTAGGTAAGGACTAATAAACATTAGATCAAGATTTTTTTAGATAGTATGAGTCAGTAATTTTCAGATGGTATGAGTCCTAAAAAAGAAAATATTAGATCGAGGTTTCTTAGGTAGCATAGGTCAGCAATATTAGATCGAGATCTTTTAAGCAGCATAGAATACGAATAATAAATATTAGGTCGAGATTTTTGAGAGTAGTATAGGTGAGCAATATCAGATCGAAATTTTTTAGACAGCATAGATTAGGAATAATAAATATTGGATCAAGATTTCTTAGGTACTATAAGTCAGTAATATTAGTTCAAGATTTTGAAGTAGTATAAGTCAGCAATACTAGATCGAGATTTTTTAGACAATGCAGATCAAAATTTCCAATGTAAAAGTTTTAACTCCCTTCATTTCATATAGTTCAGTAGACTGGAAGAAATGAAAATTATCTTTCAAGAAGTGCGAATATGCTGCAAATATTTTATGCTAGACAATAAGGGTATATGTCGTGAAAACGAAACCTCAAATAAATTCATTCACATTGTAAATTAATGCTAACGATACTATGAATCACTTTTAACATATCTACATTCCTTAAAATTATTTCCCACACTTTTTTGTTGTTATCTTATCTAACCAATTTACATTTTTATGTTTAAACCCTTAATTTCTCATGTCAATCATTCTGTTTAATCTTGTTATAATGCTTGTACCATATCCGGTGTGTTTCGATTCTTGAATTCTTCATGTAAACTACTCCCATTTCTTAACACATATAATCTCGGTCCCAAACCAGAGGGGATTCTTCTCTCCTCTTCCAAGGATATCGGCTTCATATCAATCTCTTCTTACGATAAAGGTTAATATCCCTTACTGTTGCTTATTCATAAGACAAATCGACTTCCTATCAAACCCTTTCGCAATAAGCGCTTCACTTGGATAGATTTGATTGGAGTTTAATGACCCAATCTCTGAGCTCGGCAAATAAATTATCTGGCAGTCATTATTATTTCACGACAGTATATATAAAGCTTCAGAATAAGTAATCAACTAAATAATTATGGGTATATATAAAGTTTTGAAATAAGTAGTTAACTTAGTAGTTATATGATTTCTTCAATTTTTAATAATCATTGTGGAAGAATCCAGATATACCATTAACGTCTAAGCTAATTAGTTAATCAATACTTGCCTAAGTGGCACTGTACTGTTGTAGAATTACTAGTCCAGAACGAATTTCTTCTTTGGCCAGATTGTTCATAATATATGATAATTTTAAGTAACTTAAGAGTAAAGTCTTCAATTAGTTATGAATAGGTTAACTTTGGCTTATTTGTAAAATTTTCATATTTTCATACTTACAACAGTTGAGCCAATATTACGCCATAACTGTAAGTAATACAAAATTCTCCATAATGCCATGACCGAAGCCGCACCAAAATAAATATCGTAAATTATCGAAAAGTCATAATATACCTAGAATTGTCGTAATTAGGAAAAAAGGAAAAATTTGTTTTCTGTTTTCTAAACTTGATTTCAATGATTAGAAACAGAGATTATTGATTGATTCTTATAAATTTAAATTCTAGAAATCTGCGAAAAGGTCTTTAAGAATTGATTTTTGTTTAAAACATCAATTTTTTTTTAAATTTAATTTGCATTTTATCTAACAAAAGATGCATTGCATAAAAGTCAACATATTACTGTATAACTGCAACAAACCCAATGTCTTCGATGCAACTGTTTTAGTCCATCCTGATGAATGGTAGCTGTTGTCATAACAAAGCAAAAAAATGATCCCGAAAATAGCCATATGAAAATAAGATCAAACCTGAATTTTAATACAAAAATTTTCATCGTCAATCAATAAAGTGTTAAATTTAAATTTAAATGTTGGTGTCAAATTTAAATTTAAATTATTTTTTTGAGTTTAAATTTAAATTAAAATTCAAATTTACTGCATTTTCTTTATCTTTTTTACATTATTGAAATGAAAAAAAAAACGAAAAAAAAGTGAAAAAAACTTAACCATCGCCACCACACATTGTAAAATCTTATTAAACCTTTACTGGCAAATTCGATATAATGTATCACAGCCATACCATAAACATATAAATATACATAACTTTCTAATAGTAAGCGTAAATCTGTTTAAAAAAAATTCATTTTCAATTCAATATTTAATGCTTGATAAAATTCATTTCAAATTTAAATCCAACTTAATAATATAAAGTTTCACAATCACTTTTTTATTATTTCGACAAATCGAATTTGTCTTTCTTTTTTTTCGTACTAATTTTTAAAAATTTTCTTTCTAAATAGATGTTTCAATGGTCATTCAATAATTATGAAGTGACAAAAAAAGTTTTAATGTTACAAAATCAAATTTGTTTTAAATGATAATAAAAATTTATTGATTTTTTTAAACGAACTGCTATTAATAAGCGATCGCTCAGATGATCGCTCACCCGTTCTACCAAAATATCGAATAAAAATTAGAATGCTGAGGAATAGTATATAACTTGCCATTCTACTCATATATCTAAAAATTTTATCAAAATTTGTCTGGTTTTGTTTTCATACAAATTCCTCTTTTCTCAAAAGGTAAAGTGTAATTTTTAAAAGTTTGTTACTGCTATAGGTGAAAGTTTAAAGATCACGAATTTGATCAATACATTTTCAATTTCAATACCAGTAAGTTAACTATAAACAAACAAAGAAAAACACCATTGCCATTCAATCAGTATTTCCGTCTTTGGCTAGTTTATTATTTTAATTATTTCTAATATAAATTTTGAAAAAGAATATGAAGTGTGAATATTTCAGGACAGATAAGACAGTGATAAAATATACTAATTTACCTTCCAAATTGAGACTTAAAAATTTTAGTAAACCAGCAATAAAATCATAACAATTTACCTTGCCAATGGATATTTAAAAGTTTTAATACAAGCGCCAGCGCTAACTGCATGGAGTAATGCTAATATCGGATAGAATAAGAAATGCCGAAGTTTGCGACTCAAATCTTGACATTTAAAAGTTTCACTGTCTGTCCACATTCCACGCCAACAATCTTCCATTGTTGCTTGAACACCCAACGATGACAAAAACTGCAAGTTTTGATTCGCTTTTTTTTCTTTTTTGGAAAATTCGCATTTTGGAATGACTTTGAAATTGTTATATTGTTAATATTCATTTGAAATCTGCTCACTATTTGGAACGAAAAAATATCACTCCCACTATCACTCTTATGAATAGTCCTATCATTGTGTAAACCCCACTATCATTCTTATCAACAATGCTATCAGTGTGTAAATTTGCCAAGTATGCTTCAATGTAAATATTAATATAAGTGATTTAATATGTAACAATTATGATATTCAAGTAGTTGATCTAATTTTTAGCATAATGAGATAGTAAGATGTAAAATTCAACAAAAGTATGCCTCAAATATAAATTTAGATTTTACTAGATTTGGATACACATAGAATAAGTATCACACTTACTAAATGATTTTCCTAATTAAAAAGAAAAAGAAAATTGATTTTCGTACCGGTTTCATATGAGCTTTTAGAGCTAATTGAATACGTGGAAAATGTAATTCGCAATCAGCCAAAGGTGATCCAACTTTACGTGACAATAACACGTGGATTTCTTCTGTAGTCCAACATTGCTCAGCAATTTTAACCGCAAATGTCATCACATTCTGACGTAAATCTCTATACGCCACCTATATTCCATTGAAGGTATTATGTAGCTTCAAAAAATTTTTTAGCAAATGGAAATATTATAATCGATTTGTTTTTTCCAAAAAAAAAGAAAAAGAGGCAGAAATTTTGCCGGATAGTATAGATTATTAATTAGCATAGATTATTCCATAAAACTCATAATATTAGAGAAATTCGAATTTTCAAAGATTTTGAAATTTTTGAAAGTTACTGGAATGAATGTTGTTAGATATTTCAAAATTAGCATCCAGAATTTCAGGTAATTATTATCCAGGAGATGATTTTCATCAAAAATGCTTATCACTGATAATAGATAATGCGATGGCTCAATTTATCAGCTTAAAGCTTACCTTATGTTCTTTTTCCATTTCCTCGCATACTTGCAAATCAGTGGCAAGATTGAATGCAGCAAGCAGAGGATCAGTGCATGCAAGCCATAAGAATGGTTCGCTACTAATTGCACGATAGGTATCCAGCAAAATTACACTATTTGTCATGCAATGTGCGCTACGTGAACATTCTTCGCAAGAACCTTTGCAATATTTATTTATTTTTTTAATTTACAAATACTAAATTTAATCTTGGACTTAATTAATCTAATTCAAACACAACTATTGTTTTATCATGGTAATTCTCAGATTTAATAAACAAATTGTTAATTAAGAGAAAAAAGGTTCGATTGATGGGATTTTTTCCTTTTTTTTAACATGATAATTACTAAAAAGACAAAAAAATTCGCTTTTCTTATTAAAAAAGAAAATTTTTTTGTTTTTAAACAAAAAAATACAAAACTAAACCAACGAAAAGTTAAAACTTACAATCAGGTCGATGTGGCAATTGCATATAATGCTTCCTTAGAAGTAAACATTGAACGATTGAAAAATTATTACATATGCAGGCAAGCATTAGTGGTGTCATGTGAGCTGGGAATGACTTCGATTTCCGACACCCTAAAAAAAAAAAAAAAAAAAAGCAAAGAGGTAAACATATACCTTGTGATCAATGTGGGGTGCCCGTTGTTTGAAATTGATATCAATATTAAATTGGGACAATTATTGTCATTCTGTCCTTGTCAAAGTGATGTAAATTGCATTGATCACTTTCAATCTTATTTTAGTTTGTGCATTGTTAGTGTAGCAAATATAATTTAATGTAATACTGGAATATCTACGAACCATTGCGTTCTTCACCAGGATATTCCATGAAAAGTGATAAAATGAATTCAACTAATGGCCGACTTCCGATGCAAATTGCTGTCATCAATGCTTCTTTGGTTGGTTCAGCTGATGTTCGATCAATGAGTAATGCAAGAAGCCGCTCTATATGACCCTAAAGAGGATATTTCCGAACAAAAAAAAGTAACATAAAAATTCTCCCCATCTACAATATAGCTGTTATGACTTTTAACATCTGGCAGAAAAATTGTTCCCTTAAGGTATTTTTAGCGCATCCCTAATAACGTCTATTATTCAAAATTAATTTTAGTGTTTATAGTGCACGAATAAATCAATATTTCGTCAATAATGAAAAGATAAGTTCAGCATTCTTATTTACTTCTTATTCATCTATAAACTGTGCTTGTCATTTTTTTTTTTATCAATATGCATTTATCACTTTTTAACAATTCATTCTTTTTTTACAACCCAAATCATTTTTCAAATTGAAAATTTAAAAGGTTTATTTATTTTCCTTTAACAATTTGAAATATGAAACAATCAATTCATGATTTTTATTTCACCAAAAATCTTATTATAAATGAGAGTAAACAAATCTTCTAAATTACTAATATACAAACTTACGGAGGTTAAATTATGAAAATCCTTAAGAATTTGCTTAATAACTCTGACATTTGCGCTAAGTACAGCAGTACGAAATTGATGAATTGTAGCATCCATTGATTTGGTTGAATTCCATTCCACTCGTCCATCATAAGCAATTTTGGAATGCGGTAAATTTGATACCTGATATTTTGCTACTAATTGATGTATTACCTAGCTTCTTTGTTTTATTTGGATAAACAAATGTTATGGAAAAGTTATGAAGTGGTTAAGAAACAAAGTAAGATTCAGAAATTTCCAGTTGAAATTGATTAATAAGTTTAACTTGATTTAAATAATGATCCATCGCTTGTATAATTTAATTCTTCCGTTTACTTCCGTTTTTGCATCAAATTTGTATTTATCTGTAAAAGCGACAATTTTTCAACCTTTATTTCACGTTGCAATGGAAATCATAGGTATCGTCAAAACCTGCGGCATTCTAAAATCATATAGGTATCGTCAAAACCTGCGGCATTCTAAAATCATATAGATATCGTCAAAACCTGCTGCATTCTAAAATCATATAGATATCGTCAAAACCTACGGCATTCCGGATAAATTCATTCAAAGGTGACAAATTTTTTGAAAATACATTTGGAGAAATACCGACCGTTTGCCAATAATTCTAGCGAATATGTTTGTCTTCTTTGCGTTAGAATTCCCGTTTTTATTGTGCAAATGTTATTTAAATTTGATTTTACAGATTGAATTATATTGAAGATTAAGCTGCCAATTCTAACTGAAATTTTTATTTAGATTTTATTTTTATTTAAGGTTTATTTAAATTTTCTTTTATTTTCTTTTTATTTTTTTCAAACTGTCTATTTAAATTAATTCCACACTTAATCTTTTCCTACTATATGAAGCCAACAATATTGTTTCAAATTTTATTTTTTACCGATATTATACGTGTTCCCAAAAGATTTTTTTCTTTTTTAGTTTAAAATATCTTTTATTTTAATTCAAATAGGTTGCAAAATTTAAACGAATAAAGTTGAATAACGTGTAATTAATGTAACAACACTTTTTTTCTCAAATTAGTAATTTTATTATTAGCATATTTTGTATGAAATATATATTAAAGGAATGTTTTAAATTATTTCAAGTATATCTAATGATGTAATAATTTTGCAAATTGTTTCCATCTTTTCCTTGTTCATTCACTTTTCATACAAATTTAAAACTGTTGGAAATATTTTTTGAATATATATGTATTACTGAGAAAATAACTTTGAATTGATTGATAGCTATTTCTTTCGTTGTCGTTTTTTTTTTTCTTTATCTTTGTCTAATCAAATGATACTTCTGCGTTATCTTTTAATTTGAATGAAATTATGAAATTAAAGAATGATAAATTAAAGGACAAAGTAAACTAAATGATACATTTCAAATCAGATGAAAGCATTAATTGATCATTTCATTTCATTTATTTTCATTTGTTTCTTTATTATCACAATAAAATAAGATGAAAATTAGAAAAACAAAAAGCTATCCACACTTTTTTCTCGATTTAAGTAATTTTACATAAAAAGAAAGAAGAAAGTTGAGTAATATTAAGGATAAATTTAAGCAAATTTAATAGCATGAGATCATCATAATAGGCTCCAATGAATAGTTTATTTCGAGACGAATATTTTCAGCCATTACATTTGATAATTTTGTCAAATTTAGCGAAGCAAACTTTGTCGTTTATCCATTCATTGAATTTGCAAGATTCACATATCCGTTAATCATGATCTACAACAATGTAGATATACATATTTGTTAATTAATTGATCTTGAGGACAGTATCATGCATATACATATTCGTTAATCTTTGATTACTTAATTACTTGAACTAAAACTAATTACTACTATGCCTGATTATATAATGTTGAACATTTTGATAATTTAAAACTATCTTTGATAATTATTCCATTTCTTTTTTCTTTATTTTCAAATGAAATTAAAAATTATTAACAAAAACTTACTAATTTGACAAGCGACGATTAACGAACGTTTCCTAAGTAAAAGTCGTTTATATGCTTTTATGTAGCGAATACATCGTACAATTAGATAGAGTGTATAAAATACAAATATTGATATTATCATCATGAAGAACATTAATAACATTAGACGTTGAGAAACTGTTAATTCTTTCTAAAATTTTACAAATATTTGTTGAGGTATGATAAATTTTAAAGAATTTAAATTGGTAATATAAACAAATATTAAAAAAATAAATTAAAATTCATTGTTATTGTTGTTTTCTTTTTTTTTCTAAAGAATTTTTGTTTAAATTTAGTAAAATTATTAAGTTTAGATTTACTAGTATTTTTAACCTGCATGTTTTTTTTAACTAAATTTTTATGCATTTTTTCATCATCTGATTCATCCCAATTAACATCATTAATACTAGGAGATGGTCGAACAGCAACGGAAACACCAAATACTTGCATGAAAATGACAATTATTGCTCGTGCTACTAATGTTGGATACAATAATTTTTCCTGAAATTTAATTTAATTAGCTTAAAAAAAAAAAGATTAAGAAAAAGAAAAAAATTTTTTTTTTCTTGTAAATGTAACAATAACTTCCTGTAAATTAGTGAATAAAAAGATAAGAAAATACGAAATTAGTTAGAATTTAAAAATTAAAGAAACTAAAATTAAAATAAAAAATTAAGAAAATAAGAAAAAATTCGGAAAAAAAAAGTGAATAGCAAAAGGAAATGATTAAACAGTTGGATTAAATGAGTAAACAATAAATTGATAAATAAATAAACAAATTACCTTATATTTATTAATTCCAAAGAATAGAAGTGCGGATGTTACACCATACATAATACTAATTGGTATCAATATTATCATAAACCATAGGTCATTATCGTACTACAATAAATTAAAATTTTAAACTTGTTTTAGTTTTAATTTCAAATTTTATCACAATGTAACTGATACATAGATAATACATAATTATCAGTAAGTATTTGTAAAATTTAAAAAATAAAAATTAAAAAGTATCATTTAATGTCATCAGAATGTTATATTTTTTTTGGAATTTTTTAATTTATAATATAAAAAAGAAAAAGAAAAAAGTAACCTGTTCATCAGGATTTGATGGTATAGCAATATATGCAATGGAATATAATAGTAATAGTACTGATAAGACAATTTCTGAGCTAGCTAATATCATCAAACCATTAACCAAACGACAGCAACAACAAAGCCATTTTGGATGTTCTGGATCAAAATCCATTTACTCTGAAAACTTATCAAATAATTATAATATATTAATTGCAATACTGTGAAGTTACGATTTGTAAAATAAAGTTTTTTTTTTTGAGATTTTAACAATATAAAAACTTTTTCCTCAAATTTATGAAATCCAAAATATTTATTGAAATTTTTAAGAAATTATAATAACTATGATTGTTTAAATGAAATTTTGAAATTATCATTAATTTAAATACTAAATTAAACAAGAAGATGCTTCTCTTGTTTGAATTTAGGCACTGTTTCTTTTTTTTTTTTCGAAAATTCATTCATTTAAAAATTTCAAACTAACGATAATTGCTACTAATGGAGCTCAAAATTAATGACTATTGATTTTCATTACAAGCATTAAATCATTAATTATCCAATATATTCAGATGATATGTTGATTTTTATTAAATACATTAAATCATTAATTATTGAAAATGTTTGGATGATATATTAATTTTCATTAAAAGCATCAAATCATTAATTATCGAAAATGTTTAGATGACATATTGGCTTTTATTAAAAGCATTAAATCAAATAATTACAAATTCTTAAAAGTAAAAGAAAAGATATTAATAGGTATTAAATGTTATTAAAAATTATCACAATTTTTTACCCAATATATATTGAAAATCTATATTCAATATCATATATTGAATATATTCAATATCATATATTATATATTCAATATCATATATTGAAAATCAATAGACATAAAAGCTAAAAGGAATAATTTAGTAATGAAAATTACCAAATGAAGTAAATTAAAATATAAAATATGGTTCAGGAAAGATAAGCTTACATTTGTTGACGATTAGATGATATTAATTTATTAGCTTACAATGATTGCTATTAAATCTGATAGATTAGCTTAATGTACGCAAACGTATACGCTAACGTATACGTTAACATCATACCGGTATTAACACTATAACAAACTACTTTAAAACTTCATGTAACTTTAAATAAGTTTAACTTTAAATGGAGATGTATAAGCTATGTTTGTGACAACATAATACCGGTATTATCCCCCCTCCCCCTCCCCTAAAATAAGTTATTGATAACTTTAAATCAATAGTTTATCTTTTATCCAATAATATCTGATGCTAATTGCTATTTTTATGCTATTAAATAAAGATTTATTTTGACTTTTTAAAAATTAGAAGTCGTATTAAAATTTAAGAAATTATTAAAAATGATAAGTTTTTCTTTCTCTCACTCCCTGTGATCGTTGTAGAATTTTGAAATCATTGTAAAATTTCGAAATCATTGTAAAATAATCATTGTAAAATCTCAAAATCATTGTTAAATAATCATTGTAGAATTTTCGAAATCATTGTAAAATAATCATTGTAGAATTTTGAAATCATTGTAAAATAATCATTGTAGAATTTCAAAATCATTGTAAAAATTTAAGCAAAAAATGCGAAACAAATACATCAATTTTTTAAACTTATTATGATGAGTAAAATACAATATCGATGGTTAAAATAGACGAAAAAAATGCATTTTTAATTGATAGCAAGAAGAGATGAAAAGAAGAAATAATTTGTCCTTTTCTCATTTAACAACTAATAATTTGCTGAGATATTGAGAATCAAAAACAAATTTTAAAAACAACAAAAAAAAGAAAAAGA